TATGCTACTGTTATGGCAAAGTTACCAGGGTGCTCAGTCACTTTCAGCACAGCAAACATCTAAACCGCCTGCAGTCACAGCAGCAGATAAAATGCACAAGACTGGGACTGAGCATGTCTCTCGTGTATCTTTGAGATGCCAACCACCTTGGAGAACACCCTAAGTGGCAAACGCATGTACACCCTAACGTTCTACCTCGTCATTTAGATAAAAACATTCATCTCTTGTATGCTTCTGATTTCCCTGTCTTAAAGCGCTGTTGTATAAACATAAACACTTTCATTTTGTCTTGATGACAAAGCCATAAAGACCTAATGTTTGAAAGTCTGTCTACTCTTTACTGGAGCCAGTGTTATATAATGCATGTTGCCACGGATCATTTGCATGTAAGCAATGAAGCTGAAAGGACTAAAAGTGACCCAGTCTGAATGACAATGCTGTCATGTTAGCAGACTGATGATACCAGTAATGTTTCTCTCAGTTAATAAAACAAATGGCCACATTATTTTTAAAACATCCTCATTTTAGTTTCTAGTTCCTAGTTTTAGTCTCTGCACATAGATGACATCTTTATCTTATAAAGGATATCTTATATCCATCCAGATCAAATTAGACCATGTCTTTGAAAAAAACAAAACCATTCATTAGAATTGTGAAATTACCAACTTGGATCAGGTCTAGACCTGCTCTGCTGTCATCTGGCTGGAGAAGATTCTGAGTAATTATTTACTTTTGCTTTCACTACCAAGCTAAAGCTTTCATAGACGTAACATAGGGTTTAGAGATGTAGAGCACTCATTGATACAACAATTATAATCAATAACCAGACAAGACAAGACAAAACAAGCCTCAAAACAATTTGAGCACAGAAGAAGGATGTATCAGGTACATTTCTATCTGGTCTTTCTGAATAGGCCGTCTGCACTGACCTTGACAGACTCGAGTAACTCCTGCTACCATCACCCTGACATTTTAACCATATCACATCCCAAACATATGTTGTATAAACAAAACATTCTTGAAAGCAGTCGAAGAACTCATTGTGAGTGGATAGTTTTCTTGAATCTCGTTTCTGCAGGTGTCTTCCCTCATTCACTTACATACTGCACTTTTTAAACAATAACAGAAAAGTTTATTACTCATTATGGGTGATTTGGTTTTCAAATATTCTGATTTTTAAAAAAAAAATACATATATTATCCAGTAAGTGTACTTTTTAAACTCTTATTATAAATTCTGCATCAGCCACAATGCAATGGGATCGGATCGGCAGCAACACCTAAACGTGTTGACATCGTGTCCCACGAGAAGTATTCACGAGTACTGTCCAATCATGTGTCAGCCATGCCTGTGATCTCAACTACATACTTACATACTTTTATGACAATTACTTTTACACAGCTGCAATGCTATGGTGCCTTTTTTTCTCAACATAATTAAACATACACAGAAGCTACATGCAAAAAAAAGTCTCCCAACTGGTTAAAAAAAACAAAAAAACAACTATGTTTAAGATTCCAAAAATCATAAAAAATGAAACTCTTAAAACAAACACTAATACATAACAGAAAGAATAGAACCAAAAATCTTACTTGTTCCCTCTGAATCCTTCCCTGCGGACTGTGGCAAGGCCTTCAGACACTAAGGACTCAGCAATGTTTTCACCTGTTGTGTCTAAAATAAAAAGAAAGAGAAAGAAAATGTATTACCATCACTAGTCTACCGCAATGTACCGTCAGAAAATTGCAAGGGTAAAAAGAAAGGCAGGGCATCCGATTCCTAGGGAGGTCCCAGGAGTTAGAAAAAAAGCAACCTATGTTTTCCACATAATGACATGGCTTTATAATAGAAATACAAACTAAAGTTACAATTTTAAAAAGAAGCATAATTGTAGTTTAAGAAATGGCACTACACCTTTCCCCAGGTAGACCATGCCGTATTCCCTGTGCATATTCTTGTATTCCACTGTGAAGCACACTTCTTTGCCGATTAGCTTCTTCCGCAGGAACTCTCTGGCTTGGAAGGCCCATGGCTACATTGCAGACAAGAAAAGGTGACATTTGACTCATCAGTAGATGTCAGTATCAGTAGATGTAAACAAATAGTAAAGACATACTGGCTCAGGTACAAATCCAATCCTTTCTTTTGGATAAAACATGTTGGGGAACCACCTACAGCTTAAACTTCCGTTAGCCTCCAAGGTTCACAGCCACAAGACCAGCATAAAGGTGTGTTGTATTGACATGAAAATAGCCACACTAATGCTGGCCCCTTCTTAAATATGTCACTGAAACAATTAAAATTGTGTACTAACGCTATGTCCCTGATGCACATGCAAATGACTTGATTCATTTGGTCAATGTCTCAGCAAGTGTGCACATTTCCTTTATGTGAGGAACCAGCCAAATCAACAAATGCAGGTCCTTTAAATTTCATTAAGCATATGACCTGCACTTACTCTTTAACACACAGACTCAGATTTTTCCACAACACACCATTATTGGTAACATACTGACACAGATATGTGTCAAACATAAATATAAACACAAACCAACAGAACCACTCACCTCATCAGGGGTGTCCTTGCTGTCGGGCTGGCCCTGTGCGGCTCGGCGGGCCAAAGCCCCAGCTCGGATATTGCTGAGATTGATCTGACGCTCTGGGGGTGGGCCACCTCGAGGCTGACCCCGAACTATGATGGCACAGCCTGACAAGACCTGGCAAAGAAGACAATATAAATGGTCAGTTCGGTACGACAGAAGCAAAAGTACGAATATTGATTAAAAACACCACAGATTCTGCTCTTAAACCATAATAATTTCACACACACACAGATGTGAATAAAAGCTGTGGAATTATTTAAATTGGTGTGACATTAAATACAATTAGTCAGCAAAAGAGGAAATCAACAGTGTGGATGCTAATGTGCCTGTACAATTGACTGGAAAGGAGCTTCGTACTACGTTAGTATGGTGACTGTCATTCAAATGCAAGGCGAGATCAGCCCATGTGATGGCACAGACGATATTTTTTTTAAATAAAGATAACCTCCTGTCGGGTTTGACAACCATGGCATTTACACAAATCTGAGCAAACAACCTTTATCTGCTAACTCCCCAGGGTGTCTGCAGGAAGCATCACTGGGTGTTGTTGATCTAAGATCTGCTCTAGATAAATCAAATCAAAGGTGCTCCCACTAACCGACTCCACTCCCTACAAGTAAAGGCAAAACAGAGGTGTAGCTGTAACGAGTAACAGACAGTTGTTGGGGGGGAACGAACCCATTCCCCTCTACACCCTGAATTTTCTGCCTGACTCACTGATCACCTTTCTCAAATACAAACTCCTTCATAACAAAAAAAACAGTTGTTCAGACTTCTTGTCATGCACCATAATGCATCAACTTCTTTCAGTGTTTTCAAAGGCTGTTGTTGTGATTTGGTCCTATTTAAATAAATTGAATTGAAAGACTGGGAAGCATCGTTCTTTAATAGAGTGCAGAAATTGGACAGTAGTTTTTTGTCTGTTGGTTTCAAGTACGGAGGTCTGTATGGGCCACAAAGGGCAGTTGAAAAAACAAACAAACAACAACACTAACTTATTAATTTTGTCAGCTCATTCAAATGTTAAATGACTTCATTAAAACACACCATGAAACTGTCATCATGAGAGGTGCTTAAACGGATCTGTATGTACCAATTATATATATGAAAATTGTTTTAAACAAAGTAAGATAGCAGAAGTGCCCAGGCTGAAACTGAAAATACACGAGGAAAAAAAACTGACACTGAATAAAGTTTCCCATGACTCAACCCTAAGCAACATATGGACAAACATAGGTTACACACAACCGAGATGAATGGCAGATTATAGGGGGCAAGAAAACTGCAGCTACGTGTCAGTTTTCTCTGGCTGGTTTTAACCAGCACACCGAGAAAATCCCTCGTCTGTGGCTTCAGCTGACGGGACACATCAGCCAGCTACTATCTTACAATGTCTGGAGCCCCGCCGTTATTAACAGACACTTTGAAGCTAGAAGATGTTTCAGCGGATCCCGCAGGAAACCGTGACAAAACGCGAAACGGCAACTAGAGGACAGGAGTTTCTCAACTTAGTTTATACGCTAGTCTTGGAAGCATTGATTAAACTGGTTTAATCTGCGCTACTGCTCAACACAAAGTGGACAGTGTTTACAGACACAACGAACTTTGTTCATATAAGTAACCAGTTGCTTTAAAGTAAATATAAGTTAGCTACTGGCTAGCATAGCCGTTAGCTGAGAAACTAAACATCTGGTGTCCTTACAGCTCCCACGTTACTAAAATGCAGTAGTTCCTAGGTAATTCGTCTACAAGAAAATGTGACTCAAACCAGTCAGTGGGTTTTAAAACAACTCAATTCCAATAAACTTTGAATTTCTAACCAAATAGTTTCCAGCTAACTATCAAGATAGCGACCATGCTAATGTTTCCTTCTGCTTACTAGCAGGCTAGCAGATTTAGTGGCGAATCGCCTAAGATAGTTATTTAAACTTGTCAGCACCACATTGTCAACAGATGCATTCAACAGATCGTATTATTTGTAACGTCAAATAAGATCACTTAAGGCTATATGAGTTTTATGAGCCTTTATTAGCCCTTGGGTCCCTGAGCTAACTAGCTGCCTCCCTACACTCACGCAGTGTGCACACATATCCACGTTAGGCTCTTTACCATCTTCACGATTCCTCTTTGCAGAGGAGGAGCAGAGGCTGTCTGAGCTGGTCCCGAAACAGATGCCATGTCCACCGGTTTGAGATTCAACGCCGTTAACGGGTAACCAGGCAAGTGAGCTGGGACTCTGAGGTGAGTGACTGTTCTAATGAAAGCCAAGAGAAAAAGGCTGAACACCGATCAACACACACGTTATACCGGAAACACACTTTGCCACGCACGTGAAAATACTTCCGGGTCTGGAGACCAGCGTCAATGGAAGTTAATGGAGATGCTTTTTGACCGCGTAAGCGACTTGAAATAAAGACTTCCGGTGCAAGAGGTACGACACGTCAGCACAGTGTTACCCCAGTTAACGCTGCCTTCAAGCCGTGTCGGAAAAACGTAAATTTCGTCACACACCTCCAAAGCGACAAATAAAATACATTAAAGGTTCGTCGATGGAAACAAAGAATATGTATTATAAACAATAATAACAGTGAAATAACGCAGATATATTCACAAATTTTAGCTTTAGAGCGGCAAGACTGAGATGGTTTGGACATTTGCAGAGGAAGGATAGTGGATATACTGGAGATATTGAATATGAAGCTGACAGGCAGGAGGAACAGAGGAAAACCAAAGAGAAGGTTTGTGGATGTCGTGAAGGACATGCTTAGTCTTGGTGTGATAGTGGTCTGTGTAAGTGATATTTCAAATAAAAGGCCAAACTGCCTGTATTGATTCTCCAGTTTAATCATACTGGAAGAAACCATCAGAATATCTGAATAATCACATCCTTCAATTACATCAATGAATAAACACAATCTCTCAGAAATTCCTTGTACTGATTTGCAGTAAGGGAAGAAGTGGAATCAAACTATGCTGCTAAAATGTCTCCAACAGAATGCCAAGCATAAAGGTTTTGTTTTTTTCACTTCGGTTTGTCACCTGTGTTCTGTATATGAGCAGTGTGATATAGGCAGTTATGAAATTGCATACTTTAATGACTGATTATGCAGATCTAGAGAGTGCTTTTCCATTTGTAAACACTCTTCATTTTCATCACTATCATGATAGTTTTGGGCTTTAACTGTTTGAACTGTTCTTTTTTTCAGAGGGGAATGATTGTACAGCAAACATGTTTTATGACTAAAATAAGAATTGGGTGTTTCGTTTAGACATTGGAAAGGTTTCTTGGAGCTAATTCTAAACAACTGTAGATTTGAAGAGCATCAGTTCAAACAGCTGTACATAAGTACAAGTTAGTTGGTTGTTTCACCACTTTGTCAAAGTCTGGAGGAAGACCTGGACTCTCACCCTTAGATGGAAGGGCATTTGTTAGGATGTTCGGGAACATCCCACAAACAATCAGAGCTCAAGGCTGCCATGAACTGGAAACTGCTGGAACACTAGGGTCACTGTCCACACTGAAGCAAGTTTTCCATGGGCTGTATCGACCAAGAAAGGAGACTCTGGTCTAAAATCAACACCGCCAAGCTTGACTGAATGTTGCAGCTGCACATGTGGACAAGCCAAATGCCTTTTAGAGAAAAATTTTACTGGTACATTGCACAAAGTGGATGGAGTAATGAAGAAGGAGGACTACCTCCAGATTCTTTAACTTTACCTCAATTCAAAATCTAGATGGGTGAAACTTGAACACATTTGGGTGTTCCAACAACACATCAAAACTGGTTTTGAAATAAGTAATGCAGTCTAGCATTACGTTTCTGGAATGGGTGTCTCAAAGCTTCAATGGGTGTCTCAAAGCTTAAAACTTAAGTCCACAACTGAAAATCTGTGCTTAAAACTTAAGTCCATGTCAGGAAACCAACCAATTTGAATGAACTTGACCAATTTAGACAAGAAGGGTAGTCAAATATCCAGCCAGAATGTTGCCATTAGCTTGTTTGAGGTATGTACATATTTAAGCCTGCATGTATAATTTTACTGTAAAGAACTATATGTATACTGTGGATTAGTGAAAATCGAAAATATAGTCAAATAGTCAAACTTGTACACCACATTCTTGCTTTCTAAAGTTAAAGATGTAAGCTGAGCAATCATTTCATGCTGGAAAAAAGCAGTTCAAAGAAACCATTTAAAGCCCAGAATTACCATGACATTCATGCTCATGATGAGTGCGGGTGACCACAGCTGTATTTTCCCTCTAAGTAACATGAATACTGGGCTATGCTGATGCATTGGTGTATATGTAGACTGAGTTATACTGACATGACGTCCTTTTTAAATAAATAAAGGAGTATTATTTGAAAAAACATACAGGGTAATTTAGAAATGATAATCTCCCCAACAGCGATGCTGACTCCATTATTTAAAATACTGTCAGCAGTCTGCAGGATGTGCAGCAGAGTAAAAAAGTGTCTTGAAGATAAGTTTGTAACAGTTTTCAAGGTATTGCTAGAAACTTGGACAATTACCCCATTATTCTCACTTTTCACTATAATTATAATTCATGCATTTACGTATATTTATATATTTCATGTAAAGGCTAATCTCCGTTATGGGCTTTTTAAAACTCTAGTTAGTATTCAAGTTGGCAGGACAGTCATCCTTCTCCATAGATAGATAGATAGATAGACAGACTATAGTGGTCCAAAGTCAGCATTGTTTAGGTAAGTAGTGTATAGTGTGTGGTGATATTAATGTAAAATCCACATGAATGGGAGAAACTAATATTTCCTAACCTAACATTGCCTCAAAATAGGTCAGTGCTTACTTCCCCTATCAGTAGTTTTAATGCTGTGTTTGATTCATGTATATCTGATTTCAATTTGTATTCATCTTCTTGTATTTTGTGTGTACATATATACACATTTCACGTTCATTTTACGTCCTATAAATAGTATCACCAAGTCTTAAACCTGGTAGTCTTTACTGTTTTCACATGTTTGTATGTTCAGGTCAGTCAATCAGTGATTGCAAGGGAAGTTTTTACTAGCTTGTTGACAGCTAAATATTGTCCAACACACACACACGAGCTCACCCAAGCATAGAACATATAAAGGTTCAACTGGTTTATTGACAAAACAGAACAAAACAAAGGCAGGCCAGAACATTGTGTTCTTGGGCACCTGGTGACCGTTAAATTGGAGCTGCTAATAAAACTTTTGATGCTTTAAACCATTGTGAAATCAAACCCTTTGAACTAAATCAAATCATAGAATTGACGATCTAAAAATGCTTGTATTTTTGTTGTTATTTTTAATCGTTTAGGTATATTACAATTTTTTAAAAAAAAAATCAAATGTTATTGAGCATGCTTTGATATGGCAAAGCTGCACAAGGTTTAAGGGGGAAATCCAGATAAAATATATTTATCATTTTCTGTGTCCGTGCTGCAGAACACAGAAGAAACAAAGCGCAAAATGTATATTTATATTAAAACGTGTTTAAAAAAGGATAAATAGTGATTTATTTTCGTTTGCATAAAGTTTGGTTTGGGGATCTATGAAAATGTAAAATAAATAAATAAATCAAATCCTAATGATTAAAAAGTGGGGGGTTAGGTTGCGACTAAATGTTGGGAAACCTGGTCATGTGGAACATGAAGCATTGCAAGAATGACTTACCTTGCATAAAATGTGTGAATAACGCGTGTATTTTCCAAATTTAAGCTGTTAAAAATATAATCAGCATTACTTTTTTTTTTAGTTCCGTCAAGTAAAAAATCAAATCAAATCAAAATAAGCATTTAAGTCACATTTACACTGAATGCCATGTTAGGACAGACTGTTTCCGTCTTTTATCCTGCTATCTGCGGCCATGCAACCGCATGTAGGATATCTAACAATGATTAAAAACTAAAACAATCACCTCCATTCACAGAATGCGGGAACATTTACGATCTTAAAATTCAAAAAGGTCAACATTCCTTGAATCGCGTTGCCATCTCGTAACAGGATGGAGGAAACTGACCATGAAAACGAGTTCGTTGCGCACACAGCTACTCGGTGCGCTTTGGAGAGGTTGTGGTAACCTTTTTACGCGGCTGAGTTTTTCACAGTTCTAAACGCTTTAGGACACAGTAAAGCAGTAAAGCACCAATACGCAAGTTTTTATACACAAGACAAAGATCTATGGCATATAACTACAACGCATATATTGTCCGTGGCACTATTTAAGCGCTGAAACTCACCCCTTCCCCTGGCGAGCACATACTAAAATTTACGCACAACGAAAACGTGTTGCTGTCTTAACAACACAGCATAAGTTCTTTAATTATTCTCGTTTGGCACACACTGTATGTGCAGTAAAGTACTATAAATCAATGACCACGCTGACTCGCTGGTAATAAATAGAAACCGTCGCCCTGGTCGTTCTTTGTGTCGGTTGGCAAGGAGATGATGGTGTCCAAAAATGGCTGTCCTCTATCCAACCTGGCTGATTGTACACACAGTATTATTATCCTCTAACTCGTGGTTAATGTATAATTTGGGCCATATGGCATTTTAAAATCTAAGCCTTTATTTCGGTGGCACTTCGATCTGTGTGGACCCAACTAATGATTCAATTAGTCATTAAACAGACCAAAAGACGAGCCTCGTGTGGGTTTTCACATAGGCTAATATTTGCTCGTCAAATATTTCCCTTTGAAACGTTTACAACGTATTTTTATCTGCTGGCTGCCCAAGGAACATCTGTGAGGGTTGTTTTAGCCTCCCTCTTCTGCATAAAAAGAGGTCCCCCAATTGGCCCTTTCCTTGCGCCCATATAGGAGTCTATTTGTTCACGTTTTGAAAGAAAATGTAATAAAGAGACTTTGTGATGGATTTATGATTTATCAAAAGCACTTTACCATATGGCAGTCGTCATAGGAGCAGATTTCCAAATGTTTGTTTTATGAAAGGAGACCAGAGATCATTTTAATCTGAGCCACTTAACCTAGGAGAGGATGTTCAAGTCACGTGACCCACTAAAGTATGAGAAACACACTGATGTTGACCATGTAGTTTCTTTGAAACAAGACGGTTAGGTATGTATTTTCGTTACATTAAGAAGAGCCAAAGCAGAAAAGAGAAGGACTGAAGTGTGCTCCGCTGAAAACTGCATTGTCTAATTAAGACTGCAACCAGCTACTGCGCAAAAGGAAGCTCTTTGAGTTCCCAAGCTCGGATATTACTCTTTTGTGTGTCAGCTGCTGGAGCAGTGCACGGGCTACTAGACGTTAAAAACAGACTTAATCTATTTGTTTGTGACGCTTTAGATGATCAGACATTGCCAAGAAATTTAGTAAAGTGCGCTCAGGTGGCATCAGCTTTGCCCAAGTGTGCAGTGTGTAATATCCCACTAGTAGATGGTGCAAAGATGCTGACATGATGTGGGGGCAGGTTATATCTGATTGGATGTTTCACACTATGACATGTCTAGATGTTATTATAACAACAAAAACCGAGCTCTAATTTTGGCTTGCCGGAACGCTTTGTGGGAAATTCTTCTACAAAATACATTCCTATCACTCACTTGGTCTTCCCCCGTCTGCATTTGCTTTTAAAATAGGCTACTTCAAACGTGCTTCGTGAATCTCCGAAAAGGATCAGAATACAGGTGGTTTTAAAGCTAGGATATTGTTCTATGTCCGAAGATTCTGGCCGCTTAAACGCACCAACTTGAAGCACATGTCCAGCCTTTAACACGCACATTCTCTTTCAAAGCAGTAGACTATTTACATTTCAGGAATCGGATCACCACGTCATGTTGAGGTGTGCAGGTCTATAAATTGCTGCTGAAGGGTGGGATTCCTCTCACTGTAATTCGTTCACCAGACTGGAGTGGAGTTACCGCGACAATTTCGTTAATTCTAATTTATCGCATTCTTCACATTGCAGTCCAAGGTCTCCCCCCTCTCTGGAAAAAAGTTCTTATAGTTTTGACTTCAGTTTCATCATCAAGGCTGGGAGCAAAGAGAGATGTGCGGAACGAACACTGATCTGGAAAATAAAGGTTCATTTTCATTTTTTAACCACTTATTTATATTCGTTGCAAATCAGTGAATATGGATTAGATATGAACCACAGTAAGACATTTTAGTGGACTCGTTGTATTCGGTTAATTAGAAAAAATAACCAATTTAGTATGTGTTGTGATAAGGTGGTGGAAGTGTCAACCAGTTAGGAGGAATGTTTCTCAACGGAAGACCGCTCCCACAACCCAAGAGACGAAAAATGATTCAGCTGGCCTTGGAGGGAGTCCGTCCAAGCCAGATCTCCAGGATACTCAGGGTACGGTAACCTGAATAGTGAAAAACAACAACAACAACAACAACAACAACAAAAAACAACAACTTTGGATTTCGAAAAAATAAGCTATTGCGATGTTAGGTTAAATGCAGCATCAACGGATTATTCTTGTTTAACACAGTGGAGCTCACTTGCATCTTTAGGTGTCCAACGGGTGCGTCAGTAAGATCCTGAGCCGCTACCGGCGCACAGGACTCCTGGAACCCAAGACCATTGGTGGGAGCCGCCCCCGACTTCTCACCCCCGGTGTCATCTCCACGATCATCCAGTGCAAAAGGGAAAATCCGACAATTTTTGCTTGGGAAATCCGAAAACGTCTAGCAGCGGCGCGGATATGCAAGGCCTCCAACGTCCCCAGCGTAAGTAAGATTACAATTCAAATGTACTTTAACTACACTGAAACGATTCCAGCACTTGATGGTGTTTTGTGCACACTGTGTTCCGCAAGGTGTCGTCCATAAATAGGATTTTAAGAAAGATCCACTTGGACCGCGGACCATCGTGGACGGACCTCAACGCTGATGTCAGGGTTGAGCAGGGTAAGTAACTTGGTCCTTGGAGAAGTCATTTATAACGGTTTAGGAAGACTATCGAGTTTGATCAGAATTTTTATTACTGAACATGACAATTTAACACATAAATGTATAAATATTAACTGCATGTAGTCTGTGTGTTTCCATATGTGCAGATTTGTATTCTCTGGCTCAAGAAGAAGCAAAGAAGTTTGAGAAGTTTGAGACAGGGTGCAGTAAAAAACAGAAATCCAAAGGTGTGCAGCACAGAATCCGCACCACCTTTACGCCAGAGCAGAGCAGAGCACTTGAGCAAGGTGACCTAAAACCTCTTCAGCTATTTCAAACTAACACAATGCATAATTTTTAGACTCAGTAATAGTTAAAGATCTATTTCTCTGTGTTGAATCAGAATTCTCTCGCAGCCAGTATGCTGACATGTACACAAGAGAGAAGCTATCTGCTGAAATTAAACTTCCCGAGGACACCATCAAGGTAGACTTTTCATCAATTTTAGCATCAAGAAATTCATATACATTTAAGCTGTCTGTTCCTGAGGTGTGGCTTCTGTCCCTCAAAGGTCTGGTTTTCTAACAGACGTGCTAAATGGAGAAGAGAAGCCAAGCAGAGAGGTAGTACGCAGAGTAAGTGTGAGTGTGTGTCTGTGTGTGATGCACACATACTTGGGAGCTGAGTGTGGGTGGCAAGGATGTGTTAAGAATGTGTATAATTTGACCACTGGACAAGAATAAATGGAGCTGAACACACTGGTAGTGGAAAGTCCTTCTGAACACATCGATTCTTGCCTCATAGATGTTAAAATGTGTTTCTTTGTAGCAGGTGAAGACTTTGAAAAGCAAAGTGACTTTGTTCCTGTGAATCCAACAATGACATACAGCTTCACATCTCAACAGGTACTGTGCAAACCAGTGATATCTACTTTAAAGCTCTTAAAACATGCCGCTGTGAATGTTTTTCTGAGCATAGTTTTCTAGGCAATTTCTAGGCAATGCTAGGCAATTTCCAAATGAGATTTCTGTGTTTTTAACAAACGTCTGGTGACATTGTGGTATTTAAACTTTGTTTATGCGGTTTCCAAGGCTACTGGAATGGCAAAAGTCAATGCGGACAGCTCCTCGTACAGCACTGTTGCAAGGAAGCTGCAAAATTGCTGCTTCTTCCCAACAGAAACAGGTGAGATCCAGGAAAACTGTCTTTGACCAAATCACTGTTTTTAATAATCTTTCTCTGTTTGATTATGAGGATTTTCATTCAATTTAATTTTTATTCATATTGATAGAGAGTATTTAAGAATAATGTTAAAGAAGCTGGAGATTAGCTTGATTGTAGTTTAGCTGAATATGATATAAAGGTCAGTGATGAGAGTACATGTTATAAAAAGTTTCATTCCCTGTGATGGGCTTGGGTTTGAATTTACTAAACTGCTAAAAATCTATTAAGAATCCAATGATCCTGATTATGAACTAATTTAAGGTTGCACAAAAAAGGTATTATTCTAATATTTCCCCTCCTACCTGTCTGTTGGTCATCATATAAAGTTGCCTATCTATGAAGCCATACGTTAAACATGTAATAAATTTATGTCGATTTCACAAGTCATTTGGGATTTGTAGGGATGGTAAACTCTATTCAGTATTTATGTGTTTATTCGTTTAAATATGAACAATAGGGTAGGTGTAGGGTAAAGCCTGCCTGTTGGATCACAATATCACTTAAAATCACTACTCTCAATTGTTCCTAAGTACATACTGTACTATCTTAATTTCTATGCAATAACTTTTCAGAAATTAAAGAAAATTATCTTTTCCCCCTTGACGTACAGCCGTGAGGAATTCTGAATGTCCGACATCCTCATTTCCCCATCTGCCGAGTGACATGCAAAACATAGACAAAACTCCTCTGGATCTCCACAGAGATGGATACAGTTTTCCACTGGTTCCCCACCACACAGACATGAGGAGAACCTGCCCTTTGGCAACAAAGACAGGGGGGGCAGACTGCCCTGTGATTCAACAGTGGAACCAGCAGGGAATGCCGTTTACCTGGAGTCAGTTTCAAACAAATGAGCAGTTTCTGTTGGTCCCGGATGTGAATCAGCATCTCTACATGGACTGATAATGAGACCAGTGGATCAGCGGGAAGAGCTTTTGACTGCTGCTTAATTGCTCGACTGAAGGGACACTTTTCAACCAGTAGAGGGAGACAAAGTATGGACCCAACAATTTTGTCCTTTCCACCCTTTGCCTCTTAATTGCACTGCAGCTCGACTCATCACTTTTCCTTAGGTCTGTGCTGTTAGCACGCAATGTAATTTTTGATTGGTAAGATAATTAAATTAATTCACTAAACCCATTTGCAATGAAGCAAACTTAATGTGACTTTATAGCACCAGAAGGGATGAGAAAATAGATAAGATGAGGATGATAATAAACTTTTTCTTGGAAGAAAGCTTTATTGTTCTTGTTGCTGGGCAACAAGGACAATAAAGTTAGGTTCAAGTTAAAGAAGGTAGAGTTTAGTACTGACAGAGATTATTAAGAGATACATTTTAATCTCTGAGTATAATCTTTAATGAATACTTTGCTGTGCTCCTCAGTTATATATCAGTTTTAAAGACTTGTTGACTCCTACATAAATGATTGCTCCATGGATCATTTAAGGTTACCACACGATGATATGGACATTATCTCCTTTATATTGTTAGGCTTGACATTTGTGTCAGTGTAGGAGCGTAAGGAACACTTCCAAGATTTCAGTCCAGGAAAAGCCGGTGGGAGAATCCCTAAAAAACCCCTAAAGTTTAAATGCGACCTGATATCTGCTCCGCTCGGTATCACTTTTTACGACTGCAACAGGGCAGAGGCATTGAGTTCCTTTATATCCCTTTACTACAGTGAGGAGACAGTAAGTCTCTGAGTTTCCTGATAATTGGTCAGCAGGGGAAAGATTGGGTTCAGAATACAAAAAGCTTGGTCAGCAGCATGGAAGTGGCCTACTGGCGAAATGACCCCCACTGGAATATAACATCACGAAGCCAGATAGTCAAATGATATCTCCACGTTTGTGTTGTGACTGTTTCTGAAACATCCACCAAGCTTGCATAAATTGAGGCAAGTTTTAGGATGACTGCATATGAATTTTTAACAGCAGGTACTGAACACATGTATTTAATTTACATGCAGTTTTCAAGTGTTTTTATGCTAATTTATGACACATTTCAGAGATCAGTATTTGACCTTTTATAAGAGTTTTCTTTTTCAGCTCCAGTGATTTCTTTACAGTTTGTGCTTCTATAGTAAAATACCCTATGATTTTCTTACAAGATACATTTTTATATGGATTGCACCCATTGTGCCCTTGTGCTTCCCAATATTTTTGGTTGCTTGCATTTCCTCTTCTAAACTCTTCAGCTGTTTTAACCTTTTCTGGATGGAGAAATGTATCCATGAATTCAGGATCTCATAGATTACTTATCTACTGATATTTAATGAAAAATAAAACTAAATCCATTCTGACCTCCTACAGTATTACAAAGTGAATAGTATGTAAAGTCTACAGCAGCGGGCATGCCCAATTCTTGTTACAAGGCTTTCATGTGGTAGTTTTATCTGTTGTACTGCTTTCTTTTTCTTAAGCAATAAACCTGAATACTTAGTGCACTACTTTAAAAGCCTTCATATACTAATTTGACAGAAATATTAATCTTACATCTGGAGGATTCTCTGTATCTTATCTCATATTGAGCAACTAAAACTTTAGGAATTGGTGAAAAGCACATCCAAGTTCAACTGAACCTCACTCTAGTCTGGGATGTCCAAATTTGTTATCCAAATGTTCCTGACATGTTATTATTTATCTCCTTCCCTTGTTGTATGTATGACCCCCGTTGCTTTAGCCACTTAAGAGTATTTATTATACACTAGAATTTGCTTCTCTGACTGATATAAGGACCAAACTGCCAAAAGATGGAGTAAACAGACTCAGAGATGGTGTTTCTGGCATGTTCCTCGCAACATATTCCGCAAAGGAATATGTCAAGCGCTAAGACGGATACAGCTTAGTGTAATGTTAAGGTGTTTATTAAAATAGGAAAATTACAAAAGGTTACAAATTTTGGGAAAGATCACCAATATGAAACAAATCACTAACACAAAATAGCAGCTGTTATATTTTACAGTATACAAACATTTGAACAGAATGATCAAGGAATAAAAATACTCAAGTATGATATTTACAAAAATTACAATTTGTATGAGGCTTTTTATATTAGGGAAAATTAAATAACAGCAACGGCACCTTAAGAGCATTCGTTGTGGTTCATGATCTGCCACATGAGTATTGGTTTTAGCTGTTTAATCAGCCTTTCAGGAAGTTACCTTTCCATAAATTAGCCACTTTACAGACCTTCACTTTGATTGGAAACCTGTGTGAGACTATTAAAGGCTTGCATTCATACAATGATACTGAATACCGTTTGTTTCTTTACAAGAATTCCTGTGAATCCTGGCCAAATGACTTACTCACTGGTTAGAACATAAAACCCATTGACTTACAGCCAAATATATCATTTTTTGTGACTCTACTGTAACATTTCCAACATGATATTTACAGCAGTTATCTTAGAACTGAGAGTTAGAATTTTAGGTTTTAAATGCTGTTGCGACATGCACAAACATCCCCACAGCTACTTTGCTGCTGATAGCTGAGAAACACAAGGCCACTTGGGGCATCATTAGGTTAGGTTCTGGTTATTCTAAAGTTGTGGGAATGAGAGTCTTGTAAGCAAACCACATATTTATTTTTTCTAATCTGTGTAATGCTAAGTTGAAAGTGTCAAAAGTCAATTATGCTCTAATTTTTCATGTAGGGATTTTCCCTCCCCTGATGATTTTGTTCATCTTGTTTATCCCTTTGCGTGGAACACCATTAATAACTAATATCAATGTTAAAGAAAAAAATGTGACTAACATATTCACCTAACAGACAAAAGATCACTGGTTTGAGCTTGAGAGGACACACAAATCCCTCGGAGGGTGCAGGAAAATGTGTCAAATCAGATATGCATATCCATCCGCTGTAGTGACCCCTTATAAGGGATCAGCCTAAAGAAGCTTTATTAATATGAGCGAAAACTGGATTAATCGGCAACTCTTGTCTCTTGTCAGGTCCTTTTATGAGCTAAAATAAAGTATAGAAGAGTGGTTGCAGTAGTTGTGCTACAGCAAGAACATCAACCAGCCAGCCTGTACCTGAGTAGGTTTTCGCCGTGTGCTCCAGCTTCCTCTTCCTCCATATTAGGTTAACTGGAGATGCTAAATTGGCTGTAGGAGTGAATGTGAACTCAAATTGTAGTCTGTCTCCTTCACCCCATTTCAACTATCACTGCCTTAAGAAAAGATTCAAAATTTACCTGTGGGCAAAATAATACCATGAAACAAAGATCCTTGATTTTAAAGTTTGGCCATATGAGGCATATATACCTAATATTCTGCTCTGGTCTGTGTTATTTAAATGTCAGGTTTACGCCACAGTTATTTAAAAGTCTGTAATTCTTCGAAACAAGAAATTATCATCAAAATATCACGTGGAATTACAAATTCGTTTTGGAACAGTTTTTTTCATTTAGAAAAATAAATATACATTACTTAGAAGCAACCAGTCTCTTTAAATATTAAACATACTTAAGCACAAATAAGCCAATCTGACATTACCGAGTGACCCAAAAATATTCCAGATCTATAAGACCTATAAATTTATACAGCACAGCAGAAACAAAACAAATCTGCAGGTATCCACATACAGAGTCGCTTTCCATGAAACAAAAAAAACCCAAAACCTATAAAATATCCTACTGACCACACACAGCCCGCCAGGGGCCACAGTTCCCTCCAAACTGGAGACCAAATAGCCATGTTATATTTGGCATGGCTCTTCTTTCTCTCATGCTACAAATATTAGCATAAGATTTGGAGCAGTTTGCTCAGTCTTACTTAGACCCTCTCATGGGGAAAACTAATAGTTACAGCTAACTGGGGAAAAGGTAGTTCAGCTACCGCACACAATTAGCACTGCCAGGCTGAAAGGCTATTTTCACAAAGGGAACATAATAGGCAGATTGTAATGACATTTTCACGCATATATTTTCTTTTCTGGGACATGGACACCTTTAGTTGCTGTGATAATCACCTTAATACCAGATAAGTACCTTTTTATGTCATGAAGGCCACATTTATGTCAATCCACATCGCTTGTGTTTAAGGTAAAAAGACCAGCTCGACACTTAAAAAAATTCTTCTTCTTCATCTAAAAAAAAGAAAAGGTCCCAGTCAATGAAGGCTACCTAAAGTGATAACCACCAAAGAGTTGGGTTCAAGTATATTCCAGGAGATAATACTGAATCACAAGTGTCCTCCTCACTGTCATTGTTTGCATGGCTTCAGAAATTCTGAACATGTCAAAAAAAACAATTTGCACTCCGTTTATGTGCACAAGACTTTGATTTCGAAAATGCCGAGATCTACTCATTTGCAAAATCGAAGAATGGGTGAGAACCAATTAGATGCATCCAGTCTCCAATTTCTAGTTTATGTCATCTACAGATGGCGACAGATTCCACCATAAAATCCAAACTTGTCACTATCATACAGTCGTTTTCTGTATGCCACCCAATAATCCATGTTGGAGATTTGTGGCCCAAGTTCCTCTGCCAGCTCTTGCAAGCTATGGTAGTCCCCTGTGGGTTGCTTTTCACACCACTCCATTAGTTTCTTTACACATTCGGGTAAAGTCTGAAGACTTTGTATATCCACTCTGAGTAGAAAGCAACATTAACAAAAAGTGCTGGCTGTGATGAGGCACATTTTGTCCTTTGGATGCTCACACCAATTATGACTTTGCGCTCATGTTCCTGGCAAACCAGTGGGCCACCGTAGTCCCTCTGCAAGAACAAAATAAAGACAGACTGTGGATTAGCAATAATTACACCAAAGCAAGTCTAATAATGATAATAATATAATGCTTAAAATATCAGTTCACCCACAAAACAAACATATTTTTCCATTTAAGCCTTACTGGCTTCAAAAGGCTTAGGTGTTATTTGGCTCTTTAAAACACCTGCTGCTCAACAAAGGGAACTATTTCTTCAGTAGAAAGTAGTTCCAATAAATGGTGTTTGTTACACAATTGTGGTGAAATGATCCTTTAAGCACCGAGCATTCAGTTCACATCCATGTTGTTTTGCTTCAGGATGCATTTGGCGATTTGAGATCCTTACATCACACACGCCTTCTCCCCTTTTCCCGCCAGCACATATTCTGCTTTCCCCGGCGTCTTCTTTGATGTGCGAGCACATGTCGTTGTCCACCATCGGCATGATTACAGAGTTAAGGGCTTCATCATGTCCAGTATCTGCACAGAGAAGGATACAAAAAACACAATAAGCAACTTGTAAAAGGAACAGTGGGTTTTTTTGTCATTAAAAAATAACATGGAAAGCAGCATGTGGTTGAAAGAAGGCAGTACTTTTGGTTTCCCCCCATCCATACATGGTGCAGTTGGTGCCTTCAGGGATGCGACAGTCTTTCACGGGAAGATGAATGGTGGATGCACCTTCAGACACAGGGGCAGGACTAGAACCAACAGAAATCATCACAAATAAAAGCCAAAGCATGTTGCACGACCTTTCTTTTTAAATTTAAAGCACTCACAGTATTTTCTATCACTGTCTTTTTCTTTAACTAGAAGCATAAATCAGCTGACACTAGCCACTAACTGAGCACTTACTCTGCTAGCTTCAACATTACTAGGTTGGAGCCGTCTGGGCCACAGATCAGGCGAGAGACTCGTAGTCGCGGTCGGTTTTTAGACTCATCGAGGTGATGCAGACCGACCTGCACACTGTAATCCCGGAGATCTGGAACGCTGATGAATACAAGAGTCAGTGTAAGACAGAGTCATACAGTTTTTTTTGAGTCGTACAGTGGATTACAGCCAAACGATGATTCAACTGACCGGATTCAATAGGAAATCCTGCCCAGATCTAGAGCAGCCTTTCTTTTAAACAAATCTCACAAAACTGTCTTTACAAATACTACTTTTTTTTTTTTAGTTAACACATTCCACTAGCTCTTGATATTTTTCAAAAACACACTTACTTTCTTAAAATAACATTTCCTGAATGCCAAATATGTATTTTTTTCATAGAGAAAAAAGCCAAAAAAAGGCAAGGCCTCAAGCACCTCGAGGCTCCCCGCTAAATCAAAATATCTGCTAAAAGCTGCTGATCTACACCATATGTATTACTTGCAGCATTGCAGGTTACCACAGAAACAAGGGATCTTTTTTTTAAATCAAAGCCAGTACTACACATGACAGAGACATTGCACAAGGACAATATGATTAGTTCTGACATAAGCAACTGCAGGTTAAACAGCAGTCCAAAACATGCGGTCCCTATCTCAGGTCAAGTCTGTCTGGCAGTACGCTGTGCAGCCTTTAAGCAATTATAGATAGAAGCAGCAAAGGAAGCGTTTTTAAAGAAAGAAAGTAAAGTAAAGTCTGAAAAGGGAGAGAAATTACCAGGAGGTGAAGCACTGCTGGTCTGTCAAAACCCAGTTCTCTCTGATTAGTGAGCCACCACACAAATGGACCTTCCTAGGAAAAGGTAAGAAGGAAAAATGGATCGATCACAGTACACAGCATAAACATGGATGAAGGTCTAGGCTTCTAAAGAACAAAGACTGGAAAACACTTACTGTCTTTGGATGCTTACAACCCAGCTGCCATCTGTACCTCGCACTTGATGTCCTCCAACTATTCTGGTGTTTATGTGCACAAAGCATGATATCTTGGGCCTCGTTTGAACTAAGCAAGGAGATATAATTGATACTGTGTGTTAGACAGATGCAGTTTTTTAACATTTCCATTGGAAAATATTTATCAAAACTTCAAAAGGAAACTATTTGTTCAGTTAGGTAAATATCAACAGACTGACTTGATCTACACAGAGAGAGAGTTACAGAGGAAAGGAAGGAGATCAGAGATAAGCACATGAGAAAGAGGACCATTTTTGGTAAAAAGAAAGAAAAAGACATACTCACTATTTGTCTGAGGAGCCTTTGTAGCTGAATCACCTGATGTAAGTAAAGCAAAGTACAATATGAACATACACCCCACAGCAGCAGGGAACATACAAAACATGAAACCTGAGTAAATATGACAGCCTTTTATACTTTATAAAGGCTTATCTCTGGATCTAAATAATTGCTGGAGGCTATATTAGTCAGCAACCGCAACAAATAGATTTGCTCGAGACCTTAAAACTTCACAGAAGACGTGTTTTACATTATGGAAAATATTCAATGCAGCTTCACTGAAACCAGCCAAAGAACATGCAGGGTCCAGTGGCCCAAGTGTGTGTTTTCTCAAATGAAATGGCAACAGACTTTCGCATCTGTTTGCTGTTTGAGCATCGTGTATTCTCTGCCAATTGGACTAAACCACAGCGAACAGATTACGTAAGCCGCCCAGAAAGCTGTGCAAGAAAACAATTATGATATTTTGGTTGAAGTCAGTAAAGGCTACGAAGCTAAATCACTTGTGTTATTTCAATGTACTACACCCACACATCAGCACTTCTTCTGTTCTAAATGTCATTACATGTTCTTTCAGATGTCCCATTTAAACAGTCCCAAAGGCTCTGAAAACTTCTTCTTTGTTTGATAAAAAGGAAGCACATTTAGTACCCCTCAGTTTCATAACAAGCTTCTCTGCCTTTAAAGACAGCCATGTTATTGATTTGCGAGCAATGCTTCTCTCCTGGGTGTTACAGGCTACCTAACACAGCCTTGCTGGTTAGCTTAGCACAAAATTAAATAGGGACATATATTCCTAAGCAGCCTTTAAAGCTTTTAAAAGAAGGTAATGCCCAAGTGCCAAAAACTGCAGTTGCTCTAATGGCCACTTAAGACAGGTTCAGAAAGCCAATCAATCCGCAAAGGCCAAAGAGGGTACAAAACATGGATGTAGCTTCTGGGTATGAAAAATGAACCCAGTACAGAAAGTCATTAGCTAAAAGTTTTTAGCCAATAAGCTTGTGGTTTAAGTCAGACCCACCCTTTATAATCACATCTTTTTTCATAACCAAGATGGTGATCACTCATCTTGAGGTTTCAAAAGTGATCCATCTATTACATTGTGCATGCATACACTCCCATGTTAAATGCCCAACTTTGAAGGTAAAATAAACACATTTACAGCAAAGAATGAAAATGATTCGATCGCTAATAGCTAACATTTACACTGACTGTATGGCGGTGTTTCTTTTTATATATTACCCAAGTTATAAACATCAAATTTATGACTTAAATGTAAGCATTAGGAAGGAGTTGGCTGCCAGAAATGATGCTGTTTTGCTATGTTTGGGTTTGGCTGCAGTTAAAGTCACTCGGGTACATAGTTTTTACTTTAAGCTTGTTGTCATTAGCCAAATAATAGCATCTCATTTAATATAGTGAATTACAGAACCAATTACAAACCAAGCTAGTGTTAGCTGGCAGCTCTGCAGGTCTACCTTCTCATCCAAATATCATCACATCCAACATCAAAAAGCCCAATATGGCAAAATTAAATATTTGTGGCTTCAAAGCTGTGGCCTCCAAACCACCGGATGATATAATAAACATCCATCTGTTCTGGAAAGTCAACAGTTATATCACACTTGTTTAGTATGTGTGAGTATTTAGTATTAGTATGGATGAGTTGTGGTCCTGTTGGTCTTTGGCTCTCAAAGCTTATCAGATATTGGCACTGACTACACATTTACATACACAGATATCTTTCATTCTCATTCTACTTGGGTAAACACAGATATTATCTACTTACCGAAACTTACATAGGGTAAATGTTTATTTAAGGAACTCACAGTGTTTTAGTTTACAGTAATCCCAGGCCAGGCGGTTATTTGGACTGGTGTAACACCAGGGGCCGTGTCTGTCGCGATCTGGGTTCCTGCAGTAGTTCTTCTCCAGCCCTACATGGGACACCGTAGAGTGAGAATCCCCACTGTAAAACACACAAATACAGATTATCATATCCCATGTGTTATTTTGCAGAAAGACAAAAACTAATACTGGGTCATATCTCATAAAGGTGGGCACATGTGTACACGGAGTTGCACAAATGCTGTCAGGCACATATATTACATACACACGAAAGTAACCGTGGAATGCCTAGAAAATTCTGACTCTGGCTCTCCTATAATGCAATGAATCCTCAACATTTGCTGCTTAGCCTGTAGAAGGAAACGCAGAGTTTTGCGAAGAGTGCTCATGGGAGTTCAAAAGTATGCAGTCTAAGCGTTCAGCAGGGTTCAGACCAGCAGGAACCACATCCTCTATGGAATGATGCAGTTTTGCTTCTGATTTGTAGGAATTTATATCTAATTGTGTGTCATCTAAGCCATCCACAATACCCGTAAAAAAACAGTTACTTGGTAAGAGTTCAGACACGCGCACACAAAAAGGATTCTAATCAACTGATAATTTGTAAGGGGGTGAAGACAATTCTACTTCCCAGGAGAATGTTAAACAATGTTGTAGCTCTGAGCATGTTTCCTAGTATGACCCTGAGCCTTGAACAGAGTAGACTCGCTGGCTGCATTCTACGGGAGGGAGCTGATTGGCTTTGATCTACTTTCCTAAGAAAGCACTTCCTGGGGTCAAGGGTCGGCTCTGGAACATGTCCATCTGTCTGTGCCATTTTGGCTTTTAAAATTCCTGTAAATTAAGTAATTCCAACAGGCTGACTTCAGCGTGAAGTAACGGCCTTGGAGCGGGCAGTCTTTCCCCCAGTATGGGTCACTTTGAGAGCACCCTCGGGTTTCCTCTCGTCAGCTAGATGAATAATAATTGGACCTGGTATTGACCCCTGTGGAACCCCTGATTTCCTCTTGCTGTTTGTTTTCAGTGCTTAGCCTCATTCATTTGAAAGGGATTTTCACAAGGCAATGGGAGCTAAGTTGTCAACAAACACTCATCAAGTGAGCTGAAAAGAATGTCAATCTCTCTAGGAAACAGTTGCAGGGTTGCTCGGTACGGCTGGAGTTGCACTGGGAGCCAACAACAGAAATGCAACAAAAGTCTTTGCAGAACAAATTATTTCATTACCTGTTTATGTGATGTGACCAGTCTGCACAGGGAATCCCCGATCGAGTTATGGATAAAGTGCCCCGATAAGTCTCTCCATTCTCTTCATAACACTCTGAGATAGAACAGGATAAAATTATTCAGATGACTTTGTTAAAGCGCTGAAGCTTAGTGAGCCCAACAGCTGGTTAAACACCTCTTCATGTTGGTGGAATACTCACAAACACAAATTCATGTACTTGCAGAGACAGAGAAAGAATTTGGGTCTATGCTTGTCTTTGTGGTTTGGACCATTTAATATTATGGGTCTCTGTGTAAACGGTGTCTCCCAAATCTCATTATTTCTGGTCTTAAATAGAATCAGAGAAGGGTCTTTAGTTGCAAACTGACTGGCTGCTTTGAGACGTGTGTGTTCTACAAAATGCAAAGCAGAGAAACATGGGAAATGACAACGAGCAGCTATTGCCAAAGTCTGGTGTTGTTATTCTTGCATGAAATGGAATTCGTTGGGCAGCCCTTTGCCAAGTGGCTCAGTCTTATGAGAGCAGTATTCTTCTACTTTACAAAAGCATGACATCTCTTTTAAAACATCTGTAGTTTGGAATTCAACATGGAAATTTCCTAGTAATTGATTGAATGTACTTTGTTATTTACTTTTAAAATATTCTAGTAATTTTAGGAGAAAAGATCGACACTTTTGCAAATATATATTCTCAAAATTAAAGACTGAAGAAAGCAATCTGGCCCTGTCTAAAAGCAACAACATTGAACACTTTAGAATGTATTTCTTTAAACTGATATAACAAAAAAAGATTTAACAAAGCCGATTTTGGCTTTATGTCAAATGAACCTGGCTTTGAGCCATAACCTTTACTCAAAAGTGATGACAAGACTCTAAGTTGTTTTTACAATACATTTTTTAAAACACTAAATAAACACGATTGGCTGTGCTTGCTGTTACTCCCTTTTTTATACAAAGCAAACAACTGCATTCCCCAAAACACTGAGCAATTCTCAGAAATTAATTTTCATAGAATTTACCTGCTTTTTGTGTAGCCTCTGCACCACATCTGGGGATATGGGTGCAATTGGCTATCCTCTGATTAGGGTTTGTAGTGAAGCACCATGGGTAATCTGCACCATCAGGATTGCGACAGTAATTCTCTCTGAGGTCTCTATAACACACACACAAACTACAATTTAAATGATGATGCCGATGATGGTGTTAAATGCACAAAATACTCTCAAGTACTCTTCTTGACATTCCTGAGAGAAGTGAATCCATGCTGTCAGCAGCTATGAAGCAGCTGTTACTCACTTGCATTTGTAGTTCTGCGGAAGAAATGAGTGGCTATGTGGGAACTGGGAATCCCAGCGCTGACATGTCACACCTTCCGGGGTGACATTCATTGTGCCTTGGTAGTCTGTGCCCTTTCCCTGGACACAGGCAGTTGTTACTTCAACATTGGAGTCCTCGGTAGGGTCTGAACCTGAAACAGATAAATGTCATTGTAAGGTGGAAGCATGCAAAAAAAAAGAGAAAGTCACTGAAAAAGCAAACTGTAGTCAGGAATGAGGGAGGAAGAGAAGGAGGGGAATATTAATCCCTACAAGAATGTGTCATGTTTAACCTAGAGGCAGATGATCAAAAACAGTAGCCCATCCCCCTGCTTGCATAGTAATAGAAACTTACTGTGTGTTCATACCAGTGGTGCCTGACATTCTTTCACGTATGGACATCCACAACAATGAGAAGTTGGTTAACTTGCTGACAGAACAAGTCGCAGAGCTCGAAGCCTGATCTTATTTATACCTTTGCTTCAAAATTAAACACTGACATTATGATTCCTGTGAATTTCTCTATTGCAGGCCAACTAAAGAAAATGGCAACAAACCCAGTCTGATTTGGTCGATATTATAGACTGGCAGACTATTCCAAACATCTTTAGATGGAATTCTGGTGTTCCGCATAGCAGTGCAGGGGTAGCACTACACAGTGAGCAATTTCCAGATTTCTGTCTTTGTTTCTTTAGCCTTTGACAAATGGGATGGGGGAAGATGGAGGAGGCGAGGGAATGTTTTGAGGTTGAAACGAGAAGGCGTTTGCAAAAGGATTCTTTGGCTTGATGTAATGCATGCCAGTATCTGTGTGCACAGTGTAGCACAGGTCAGTGGTTTTTATCTTTCTAAGGGCAGGCATTGAGGGATACACACATCTGGACAAATGCAGATGCTCGCTGTAAATCATAACCTGTACAGTAAAGTCAATGCGTGTATGTGTCTGACAGAGACAAAAAGAGATGCTCTGTGAGGTTGTGGGTGTGCATATGGGAATATTTCAATGCAAATTCTCCAATTTCGCAACATCTTTTCTAATTTCCATTGATTTCATTTTCCCTCTGTCTTTTCAATTATATATAAAGGCAACATGTTATATATACTTATACTTAACATCCAGAATACAACAGTGTATAACAGACACATACTTTAATTACTGAATTATATATACATATATTTATAGGGAGAGAGAGTGGGTGGAACAACGTGCAATAAAGGGTCCAGCGTGGACTATAACCCAGGCCCCTGGAGAAGACTTTGGGCAAATGGTTCATCTGCACAACCCAGTTAGCTATACCTGTCTGTTATAAAATGCACATTCATACCTAGTATCACTCAGATTTCCACCTTCTCCATCTTCCAGGACAGTCATTTTTGATCAGTGAATGACCCCAGAAGGGTTTCCTTAGTGCAAAACCTGGAATCAGTAGGAACTGTCAAAGCAAATATCTCTACTAGCGCCTCTTAAGCTCACTGTTTAACATTTTAGATCCAACTTCTGGAGGCAACGCAAAGATGCCAAAAACTGCAATTCCTGGGTCCAAAAATGAATCAGTCAAAGGCACACATGTTAACATGCTTAACGTCATGTTTACTGCCTGGTGTAAAAAAACAAAAACAAACTTCATATATATATAATTTTCCCCTTTGTGACAAATATATGGGCCTTTTTTTTATATAACTCCATTCATCCATCCATTCTCTTTGGCTCACCGAGGGGATGGGGTAGGGGTTAGGGCGAGAGGCAGTGTACACCCTGGACAGGTCGCCAGTGCTGCAGGGCTAACATAGACAGACAACAATTTGCACTCACATTCACACCTATGGGCTATTTAGAGTTACTAATTAACCTAACCCCACTAACTGCATGTCGTTGGACTGAGGCAGGAAGCCAGAGTACCCGGAGAGAAGACCATGCAAACATGAGAAAAACATGCAAACTCCACACAGAAAGACCCCGGCCTGACGGTGGAAGGACCTTCTTGCTGTGAGGCAACGATTCCACCGTGCTGCTCATCTGTTTAAATTGTATAAAGGCTCAAGGTTATGCATTACAAGGGGCTTGGCTGATGTAAGCCACAAACAGGTGCCAAGTACACTTCTATCTGTCTGCTAGAGTTTGGGAGGACCTTTTTTTTTTTAACATAATCTTTATGCAAATATGGCTGCCATAATGTGAAAGTTAAGGCATCAAAATAAGAGCCCACCAAAAAAGTGTTACTTTTATGGCCACGCAATATAATTCACATCCATCATTCTCCTGTTCAACAAATCATCCCTTTACCCAACATGCCCTGTAAGGAACCATATGCAACTGTTTTGCTCTTTGTGCATTATTTCAGGTCTTTTCTCTAATTTCTCTATAAAATTGCATCATTTTGCAATCAATGTTTACACCACTGAAACAACTTTTAGACTTTCCGATTGCAATGTGCAGTATTTTGGCATAACAACCTCTATTGTAGTCCTCCACTTTATAGCCCTAAATGGCTTCAGTAAAACACTTCAAGCTTTGTGAAGTTATAACTACCCTCTTGCAAACAGCCTATTTAATGTCCCTTGCTGAGGTAGAATGACTTGGAGCAAACGCCCACATGAAAACACCATCCGGATAAACAAAAGTCTCCTGAGACTTTGCTGGGGAGAAGGGGACCTTGTTGTTTTTTTTTAGCTCAGTTGACCACAACTGCTCCAAAGACACCAAAACTTGTATGTATCAATTCCCTGTTGAACATTTAAACAACTTGCTTGTGGTAAAAACCAAATCCAAAAACCAAAGCTTGCTCAATCATATGTTCACTTCTGAATCCTGTATTACATTCTTACATGTGTGACACATAAATGCTGCAAGGGTAATGCATTTTGAACCAATATAAAGTCATAAATCTGAGTAAAACAATAATTTGTTGCTCTCAGTTTGTTTGAAGACTTTGTCCTCAAAGCCCTAGCCTCAGATTTGGAGTATATACAGTGCACAGTCTCTTACCACACACAGTGATGTTACAGTACTCCCATGGAGTTTTGGGATCCATGGTGTAACACCAAGGACGGAGGCGGTTATTCGGGTTCCTACAGTAGTTGTCCTTTAAATCTTTGTCCCGATACCTGAAAAGAGGGACAGAGAATGTTAAAAAAAGAAGGTGGATTTAAGCCATAACAAATCATGAGATCTACCTCTCTTTTTTAAGCCTGTGTCATGGATGTGTGCTGTTGTTATCTGTGAGAAAGATTACTATGTGATCTGCAGCTTACTTCTTGGGCTGGAAGGGGTGTTTGTGAGGCCTTGCCGAGTCCCATCTCTGGCACTCTTTGCCACTCTCTGTATGGTCCATTTTGCCCCGGTAATCCTCCCCGTTACATGTCATGCAGACATCTGTCAACAAAGAAGCAACAGTTATCAAAATGTTCTTTTGCCTATGAAGGAAATCGAAAAAGAATCGTGTCTTTTAGAAAAAAATGAACCACGCAACGGATAAATCTCCTTTGGTTTTATTTGTTTAAATCTTATTTTCTAGTGCTAATACTTCATGGGTCTCACCTTCTGAACACTGTGGTATGCCACACTCCTCAGCTCGTACATTGGGATCTGTGGTGTAGCACCACGGACCACCGGGATCGTTGTTAGGATTCCGACAGAAGTTGTGCCTCAGGTCTTGCGTTGGGTACCTATCTGGATAAAACCTACAGGGGTGTAGACACACATAACTGAAAGTGTTACCTGATACTGTAAGCTGTATAAATACATTTCTGGGAGTACTTGCACACTTGACTGCTCTGGTTTTGTTTACAGTACCACACCTGCACGCTAATGCTCTCAGTAACAACCCAAATAAATTCAAAAGGCATTTACATTACGGCGTATGCCTCCGCTCTGTGAAATACGATAGCAAGACCGGGTTACATTTTACATCCTCTCGCAGCAATCTTATGCAAATAAGGCATCAATATGCCTGCTTTAGCCAGATTTGCACCTCCTGCACAATCGCCTTAGTGACTCCAACCACATCTCCCCTCCTTCAAGTATGAAGCAGCGAAACTGTCACAGCACAGCAATCTCCAATAGCACAGAACACCGTTATGCACCACTTGGAGCATCCCATGCAGGTCTTTTGCTGGCTGCCCTGTGAACATGTTTAAACCTAATCCCCAATGGCTCCATGTAGTGAACAAGAATTTAAGAAACAGAACCCGGACCGTCCAAGCAAGTCTGTACAGTCCGGGGATTCCCATACTAAATGGACAGTGTGGGAAATTTGTCTTCTTTCGTGGCAAGGCGACCAAAAGCCGGTATGTCAGCAACTCCCTGATACATGCCGACCACTATCCCCCCTCCCACCCAGGGAGACATTGAAGCAAGGCAGAAGAAAAGGTGAAAAGAAACAAGTGAAGAGACTGATTCCAGTACACACAAAAATCTTAATGGAGTGAGCAAAAGGGAATAAGTTCATTGTTTAACTAATGACGTAAGAAACAACTTGCAGGAACAATTAAAAAAAGTAAAAGAGGTAGAGGCCACCCTCCCTTTAGCAGCTTGTCTAAAAACTACCTCAGGCAATGACTCTTAAGGGAGTCTGCTCTGCTTTCCCCTTTGTGCCCAGAGGCTTATGCAAGATTTCTCTAATAATGTACAACATCAGTCAGCCCAGAGGTGGGAGAAATCACAGGCATCTGACTTGGTCAAGAGAAGCAGAGTGCAAAGGAGAACGAAAGGGAGGACCATTAAAATGCATAGTTTTACCTACATGTGTCAAAATATAACAGGCCATACACCAAGTTCTCACTTATGCATGTAGCCCAAACTAAAACAAAAACACTTGTTCCCCTCCAAAGCAGCAGTTTCCACGGGCCAAAACTCACATCTGCTGAGTGTAAATCAAAAGCTCAATAGACTGTATCTCGATCATAATACAATATCCTTAATTTATAAATGGAATTACAAGGTTACTCACTTTGCAAAAAGAAAGAAAAGTCTGCATCTGCTGAAGCTCCGTAAAAAGGACCCAGCATGGGAGCAAGTTAGTCATAATGATGTTGTGCTAACAGATGTTGACCAGCTATTCATCTCCTTGCCAAAATCTGTTCCCAGCGGAGCACAGGCAGACACTATGTGCACATGCTTCATTCTCGGGGACGACTAAACATATTGGCTGGATTTGGGATAACACTCAAGATGAAATCTAGACCTGAAGTAACTGCTGCAAAATGTCTATCAATACCCACACCTGGTGGAACAATGCTGTGATTTAGTACTAGAGCATCCAAAGAATAAAGCAGTCGGAGATTAAAGCAAGCAGACCAAGACACAATTTATCTTTGTGCATAAATAATTACTTCTGGAAGCAAGGTGCAACGGAAAACTCTGTGCCGAAAGGAAATTATATAAAATTAAAGAAATTTGCTACTTCAGAGAGGGTATGAGAACTCAGTCTCATCTTTTAAATATGGCTACAGCTTAGTCTGGCTTGGCCTGACGCTATCCAAATGTGACAACATCTGTGAACCAGCACATCTACGCCTACAGCATTGCTCATTAATTAATAATTAAATCAACCATGCACAGCTGTATTTTTCTGTTTCCAATTTTTATGGTAAGCAAACTCACTGTAGTCACAAGAATCTATGCAGTCTTGTGAAAAACTAACTACACTCCACCATTAAGTAGCTTGCAGAACCACCTTTATGTACAGCTCTCTTAAGGACTCGCCACAGCATTTCAATCAGGTTGAGATCTGGACTTTGACTGGGCCATGGTAACACCTTGATTTTTTTTTTCTTTTTCAGCTTTTCTGTTGTAGATTTGCTGCTATGCTTCAGATTGTTGTTGTTGTTTCAGACAAGCATTGGCTGTCATACAGATGGTCTCATATTTGACTCTTGAATTATTTGATATACTGAGAAGTTCATAGTTGAGTCGCAGCCTGCAAGGTGCCTAGGTGCTGTGGCTTCAAGAGCCCCCATCATCACCACCATTTTGCTTGACAATCGGTATGAGGTTTTGTTGCTAGTTTCTTGCTAGCTTGCATTTTGGACAAAGTCTCCTCTTTGGTCTCAGATGCCTTTTAAGAAGTCTTGTTGTTTGTTCAGATACCCCTTTGCAAAACCACTGCGGTTTCCATATGATTAGCTAACAATTTTAGCTGCTAGCCATACTTGTTCAGTCTTTCTGTAATAGCACTATCATGAAATGTATAATTTAACATTCTAACTGACGCCTATTAATTTTTACTTTGTGGATAGGTCTACTGTTAGCCAACTACTAATGCATACTTTTATCCATTTCAACCAAAGACTATTTTGTACTCTCACTGGTTTAATCGGTTTCCATATTATTAGCTAACAATTTTAGCTGCTAGCCATACTTGTTCAGTCTTTCTTTAATAATAGCACTATGAAATGTATCATTTAGCATTCTAACTGAGGCCTATTAATTTTTACTTCGTGGATAGGTCTACTGTTAGCCAACTACTAATGCATACTTTTATCTATTTCAGCCAAAGACTATTTTTTACTCTCACTGGTTTTATCAGTTTCCATATGATTAGCTAACAATTTTAGCTGCCAAATGATTAGCTAACAATTTTAGCTACCGCACTGATAACCTCCTAAGACCTGAACTCTTCCATGGCATGCATTTTTAATTTCTCTTTGATATTTGGACATATTGGGACCCGATGAATGTAAAAACAAAGAATTACCAAAATTTTTTTTTTTTACCCGATTTTTGTTTCTGAGAAAAATGAGATCCACATATGAGGATATTTGTTTAAAATTTCAGTAGAACAGTGGCAGTATAATGTCCTCGTAAGTGGATATGAGGCCCTTGTAGAGCAAAATTTAGTATTTTGGTCTAGACAACCCAAAATGTGATGTCCACATTTATGGATGCCAGGTCCTAGGAGGTTAAATAAATGTTTTCGAAAACAGAAAAATAGTTCCCCGTTTTTTAGAATAATTAATCTCTGTGCAGCGTGTTGCTAATCTCTTTTTCCCTATGTTTTGAAAGGTTAAACTTTCAAAGGTTAAACTACTAAGATGCTAAATATTTTCCATTCAAGAAAATCATAAATCAAAGCTGTAACTATGCGTGTGCCTGTAGCTGAGAGCATTCACTGACATCCCATTGGAAAAATTAGTAGAAAAACAAAAGAAAGTCCCTAGGGGTACAGATAAATGATTACAATATTATCTATTATTATTAATACGAAGAAAAATATTCCATTCTCCACGCTTGGCTGAACATCAGTGCACATTTCTTTCGGAGCCTTGGTTCAAACACTAAATATAGATAACAGGTGGAAGTCCCTTTCCGGGAAGGGAACCTCCTGAGAAATCACCCCTGCCCCACACTGATCAGTCAAGCGTGAAAATAATAGTTACCTGAAACTCAAATGGTGCGTGGTTCATTATGGTGGTAATTCTCACACAGCGGGATAGTCCCATGTTAGGTAACCCACTAAATCTTCCTTAAGTAAGCTCCCTGTGACCCTCCGAAAGTCAAAACGGTAGAAGTCCCCTTCTAACTGAGAAGGAGACTGGGACCATGTGCCAAATAAACAATGACAAAGGATTCAGAATGTGAATAACTGCTTCTTGAAATGAAAATAGGACTTAAGGGGAATGTGGAAGAAGGGGGGTAAAAATGGATCAACATTTCATTCTCTTGATTGTATTACTGACCTTGTATTTTCTCTCAGTAATATTGTGGCTTTGTGAGCTCAGCTGGACATCAGACAGAACATGACTTCAGTCTATAAGTCTTTGCACCTTCTTTCTTTCATTTTTACCTCCATTCTACTTTTTTTCACACTGCACTTCTTCAAACGGTTATTATTACCCCCACCCCGCCGCCTTAGCTGCAGTTAAAATATCTTATAACTAACGAGCACCACTAATGAGGCCCTGGCACAGAACCATCTTTGCAAATTCACTGATTTTGCCTTGCTGTGCCTGGGAGAAAACATCTTCGGGGATACACCTGATGGTCTGGAGTGCTCCAAAAAAAATAAACAGCCCCACCGGGGAGGAGGTGGCTACATGTGTTGAAAGAAATCTGACTTAACTCTGGATAAACGTTCAACTGTCTCTGAGCCTCCGCCTTCCCTTAACCCCAGAGGTGCAAGGGGATGAACTGAACATCAATAAATCAGCTTCCGAGGCCTGTTCAGTGTCAGACACAGAGAAGGAGCATCCAGGAAGGTGGTGGAAGCATGGAGATTAGAGACGCAAGCTTTGAAGCCTGTTGTTTCAAATCTACAAGAATCTGGTAAGGGGAAGTGAATGATTAACATGTTCTCTTCCTTAAAAAAAACCCTCTGGTGTACAGCTGAGTAAGGCATCACAAGTAACTCTTCTTCCTCGAACACGATCTGAATGGAAAAATGCACTTGCTATTGACTTCCCTGTGTAAAAGACGGGACTCGGAGCATCCCAATTATAGCGTAAATCACATCAGCCGAAATGGTAGGTTCCAGATGGGGCTGCGCTGCTCCCTTTCAGTTGCATTTCCTTCTCTGTATCTGTGATTGCTCACCAATAAAGGCATAAATTTAAAAAAAAGAGAGATGACTTACGTGTGCTCATTGATGTTATTATCTGACCAAGCTTGGCAAGTGATATTTGACTTTGTCCATGACCTCCTTCCTCTGTAGTTGTCCATGGTGCCAGTGATACACTCCCTTATGTAATCTAAATAACAGCAAAGGCATAAAAAAGTATATGTGTTAATTCAGATATAATTCCTGCAATTAAAAGTTAATTTGCCTTTACAGCCTTGACCTCCTGGAATTTATTTTCCCATATATGGTACATTTTGTATTTTTGTTTTTTCACAGCCAGCATTTAGTAGATCCCAGCTTGTGTGTTATTCCCTAAACAGACGACTCCCTAAAGTTCATTAAATGTCACCGGGGGGAGCTTTTGTAAATTCTGTAGCACAGTCTAAAGTGCTAGATTCCATAGCTGACTCTTGAGAGAGCTTTGCGCTCTGACTGTAAGCAATGATTTTTTGTTGTTTATATTCCACTTAGGTCTTTGACGTGCTTTTGCATGCGACTTTCCCCGCTGGGGTGATTAAACAGCGGGGGGGAGAGGTGGCTCGGTTCCTTTTATTGCATCAACAGAGAAACCAAAGACTTAAAAAACTGAGGAGCAATCAGCAATTACACATTTTGCCCGTGTAAATACCTCCCCGCACCTGAATGTTCTCATGAGAAAAAAACAAAAGCGAATTACATTGAATTATTTTTGGGGCTTTGCCATTTACCTTTTTTTTCGTATAAAGTAAAGTTGATGCTGGCCTGCTTCTGCACATTGTTGGTGAAACGGTCAAAAGGAAGCAAGTGGCATTTCTTGCTGTGCCGCTGAAAGTTAAAGGCTCTGAAAAACACCCAGGAAGTAGTTGAGAGATAAACAACTGATAAAACAAGAAAAATGTGTAAATACCAGAAGGACGACAAGAGGATTGAGGAAACCTGGTTATAAAAAAACCATGTGCGGGAAATCAGATAAACACAGGAACAAAATATAATTCACCTGCAGTTGAAGTTTTTCTTCACTTTGCATTTCCGGGCACAGCGTTCCTCTGAGTTGCTGGTTCGTATCAATGGGAGCTGAGGACAGTCTGTGCAAACCAGCATGTGGCTTTCAGTCTTTTCATACCTCTGTAATAACTGACGAGACTTTCTGCAGCAACCTGCAAAACACAAGGACACAACATGATAAAACATCCATTAGATCAGATAATAAGCCTGTTTACGCCAAGGATCACCTCATATGGAAGTTGCTCTCTGGTTTTTAACATCTTTTTAAGCATCCTCGATTAAAAGCCAAGGCTTTTAATTTACAATGACAACATTTCATAGTTTAGCATCTGGCTGAAACCTTATCCTTAACCCTAGATGAAATCACTGCTCATCTTTTGGATTTTAAGAGGTTAAATATCATTAATATCGCCATAAAAGTTGCATATCTAACTTGTAAACCAATTTTGTTTTATTGTTGGACTTTGATAATATATAGCTGGCAACTACTTTTGCCCCAGAGATTTTTTTTCAGGGTCTTCTAATATGACTGCACGTAAGCCTTAAACATTGGCGTCCTTGTGAACACTGTATAAGTGCTGGCTGGCAAGGACTGATTTAATCAGTGGTCAGTCTGGGAACCCATCAGCCCATCATCAGGAGTCATCAGTCCGATGACCCCTGGGGATAATACTATTTTAGGGCTGGCAAATGTAATCCCTCTTTTGTTGTCTACATTGAATATTTACCTGCCTGTAACCAAGGTCCACTTAAAGGTAATGCTCAGTACTGCTTGGACTACAAGCAGAAAACACAAAGCTTCTAGCACCACATATTTTGTTCTGCACCTGAAGACTGGTCACAGATATCTTCGTATGAGAATGCACAATGTTCAGCTCTGTGAAAGCTGCTTATAAGACATTGAGGTGGCATTGTTCTTTGAAGCCATTAGCATTTAAAGCCTCACTCCACTCAGGGGTATTAATAGCATTCGGGCCGTTCTGGTAATCGGATGGATCACAAATTGTGTATGCCAATTTGTAACCACTGTTTTTGATGTGGGCCAGGGATCTTGGTTTCTATACTGCATCTTCATTAACAAAGTATAAAACCTTAGTCATGCACTGCTCTAATATTAGTGCTGTTATTAAGGAGCTACTGCCAAGAACTAAAGTTTTCTCATGGTGTCACCATTGAGGTTATCAGGCAGCGTGACTGCTGGTTTCAGCGAGTTGGCATCAAACAGGGAGAAAAGATGAAATTATTTCCCCATCATCCAGTAAACTGGGTGGCCAGCTGATGATGAAAACATCCTTCAAATATAGTTTGCTTCAAGCCTTGTGTTTGCTGGCACATCAGCATCCACACACTGAAGTGTTTTGTGCAAGTCCGGAGCTGTTCCAAGCTCAGCTGTTCTGCAATTCTTTAGATACAATGTGCAGCCTCAGCTGAAGTAACAGGTAAGTCAGGTTATGTTTCAGGATAAAAAATCAGTACGAAAAGTGGCCGGAAGCAAAGCCCTGCATCAGTCTGAGGTGCTTTAAATGAGCAGATTGGGCAGCCAAAAAAACAAAACCAACGGGGGTGGGGCAGATCTTGTTTCATAGGAAAACTTTAACATCACTCATAATTTCTACAATATAGTAAAATTTTATGTATCAAATTTTATGCATAGTCTCTCAGCTATTGGCAATTGGCTGGATGCTCATGTGGAAAAATGGAAACGCTTCAAATACATAATTCATTCTTGCTTTATTTATAGGCATTTGTTGAGAGCTTTTTCCTAGAAAGAAGTACATCAAAAGGAAATTCTACCATCGGAACAATGTGGCATGATGCATATGAGCTCCAACTGGGTTCAAAAGCAGGACAAAACCATATTTTAAAGCCTAAATCCCCCTAGTGATGCAAATCATTCATTTTTACGGACTGGAAAAAGTTAAGATCCCGTTTTTCAGCGGTATGAAACCTTTCTGTAAAAGACGCTTCTGAACATCTTTAGATGGGTTGTGTGTCTGCTCACAATAGTTTCGAGTTTACAATTAAGAGCAAGTGCAACATAAATCACACCGGAAGATCTTATGCTACTGAATTACAGCTACACGCTCCTGTGCCAAGATCCGACACATGACGCTGTGTGTGTACTTAGGATATTGTAAACTGTGGAGCGTTTAGAGGCTCCTCGTGGTTGAAAATGGTTTTCGGGGAGGACGTGTTATTAATGTTTTTGGGCTCCACTGGACCACATCTGGCACGCATCACAGTGTTGTTTCAGCCCTGATGTCTGGCCAAGCTGCTCAATTAGATTTCACTTAGTCTCTTCCTCTCCTTGCACTCAGCTTTCTGCTATCTCCAAATCCTAAACATTTGCTGAGGTTGAAGATTATAATAAAAGGTGCTCAGTGAGTGAAAGACATCAGATTTAATAAGAAGAGGCAGCCACAGGTTAGAGGAACAGCTCGGAGTATCTAGCTGAGCTTGAAAAATACAGATAGCTAAGGTGAAATGCCGACACTCTGACCTCAGAAACTTCCACTTAGGTGCCCTTGAGCAAAGAATTTAACTCTCAGCTGGATAAGCGTTTTAGTCACGCTTTCCTATGTAACAATACCTCACTTTGTAATAATAATAATCATTATAAAGAATATAAATGTTAGGACAGTGCAGACGAAAATCTGTATTACATGAACAACAGGAAAGTAACAGGTTAAAGGTGCGCCTCTGTCTGGGAATTACGCAGACATTACATCTGCTTCAGACAGCGCAAAATGTGGTAGTGGGCTCAGCAGCCAGATGTTAAACCCTCCACACACACACACACCTCCCCTCCCTCACACATATACGCACACACACCTTTTCCATCTCTCTCTCTAGAAACGCACGAAAGGGCCAGCCAAAGTCCGGGCCGCGCATTACTTTCCCCTCACCTCCGGGCCGGTCAGATGTCAGGGTCGGCACCCCTGGAGGTGGTAACTACGGATTCAGTGGTCAGATGTCAGCGGGGCGGATGTGACTCTGGACAGCCCCCAGATAATCAGCGCTTGGTGAACATAGGAGCAGCCCGCACGGTGCTCGTTTACAAGACCGGTTGCCGTGTGTGAACCCCAGGCTGTCTGGCATCCTCTCTATAGCTGGCATAAGCCCAACAGACACAGGAGTGTCTATTACTAAAAGGACCACGACCAATGAAAGATTTTCATGACAAAGAAGCAGAGTCATTCCAAAAAAGTGCGCTGGAACGGGTTTGGAACTGGAATTTAGAACCGTGCACGTCCTCAATGTGGAGGCAGAAACTTGTAGATCCCGTCTTAATTACAGAAACTTTAATCACACCAATGTGAACTCTTGAACTATTTGCCGTTAGAGCAGCAGGTAAAGTGAAAAGAGTGATGATTTCATTCAAAGTCTTAAAGAGCGCAAAGGTTATAAAAAGTTGATTCCTTCTAAAAAACAACAACAACAACAACAAATAAACAAACCAAAAAACAACAACGTAAGTCATTATTATTTTCTCAGGAACTTTTCTGAAGGAGGTCTGTGATCAAGGTCATTCAATAGCACGAAGTGTCATGGTGTGCAATTAAAAACTGATTATTTGTACAAAACGAAGTGCAGCTACAAACTTCAAGAAAAAATCACGACTGTCAGAATCCCCCCTTTTAAAAAAAACAAAACATAGAATTTCTCCACCTTTCCCATTTCCAACTTTTAATTTTTCCCCTGCAAGTTTCTTCACTCTCACTAATTAATTCTCAATTTCTCTATTCATTTCTCACTTGAAAGCATGAAAAGCAGAGACGGAAAACAATCAGATTTCAGCCAGTTCGTGCAGATATTTATCATCCACTGGAACCGTTCAAGTCCTACCTGTATCCACAATAGTGAGCAGAACACAGAGCAAAGCCTGATAAATCCAAACGTATGTCCTCATGGTTAAAGATTTGGGTGCAAGTTAGAATCCGGATTAAGAGAGCGACGCACTCGGAGCTTGTTTGAAGTTCTGAGTGGCTGATGGTGAGCAGAAGACTTATCTTCCTCACACAGATGTCACCTTCCCAAAAACCCACACGTCCTCGGGTCAACCCCCTTTTTCTCAAGTTTGTACTATCAGCGTCTCTCTGCTGTCAAGCGCAGCAGGGCAAATAGCACGACTTCCGGTTAATCATTTCAAATTAAAACCAGATGCCGTTCTTTTTTTAATTTCCAATTTTAAACGGAAGCAATGGATTACATTCATTCTACTGTCAACCAATAAATAAGGAAAAGAAAAACGAATTAATGTTACATATAATCCGTTTTTGGCAACTCATTTGGTGGTTGCTGTGTAGAATTTAACCTTTAACTTTAAAAAGAAGTTTATAAATTGTAAAGAAATAACTTAATATTGCTTTATAGATCTGCTGTTAATCTGCCATCGACATGCAGGATGCAGTCTATTTTTATTTATTTATAAGTTCATATAAACTACTTATTACTCGACTACATTAAACTCATTTATTAACAATTTTTTAGTAGCTACATTTAAAAATACTTTATGCATCATTTCCAAAAACAGACAGCTCACTAACTTTTGCACTTGGACCATCTGCTGCTGAGAAATCCGTGACTGCAACTAATTATGATCTAACACTACTCTGCATGGCCAAGGTGAGGACCTTTATTCATGATCTATGGCTAAATTGTTGTGATTAAGGTAAAAGATAAAATGATACTTGGTAGAAGCTGTTCACCCTTTTACATCAGTGGAGCACTGAGGCTGAAGTGGCCATAGTGTGTTGTCTTGAGGCCATGCAAAAATAATTAAAGGACCTTTATTGGTCTGGTGATCATGAGGCAAGAGCTTTTTCTTGAAAGATCCCCTTTTCTGTCCCTCCTCACTTGCCTCAGTGTGGCTCAGCCAAAAAGGCAGATGGGATTCTTTACATGTTGCGCCAAAGAGATCTTGGCACAAGGTATTGATTGCGTCCCCTGTGGATTAGCCAGTTGCAAAATACCTAATGTAGTACCAGACACAGTGCACAGACATAAAAGAATACATAAAACAAGGAAGAAATAGTTCACTTAAATTCCCTGAAGCAAGACACTGAAACTGCAGCAAATACTTTATCTCTGAACTCCAGCCAATTGATACAAAAACACTCTGAGTTTCTTCAGTCATTCAGCGTGTCAGTGCATGTCCGTATCATAACTGTCTCTATGATGAATGTGCTCCTCACAGTGACAAACATGCCACCAAATTTGCACGGACTCGCCATCACGGGAGAGCATCTTCTTTCAAAGGCATACAGGGTCAATTGTTCTCAGGGAAGTCAAATGACAAAAATGAAAAATATCTGTCAGGGACTGAGCGAATCAGACAGGATAAAAATATATATGAGGTGAAAACAGTTCCAAGAGTCATGGCGTATGGTAATAGCACATTGTAAAGTGACCTTACACAGTCCTAACAACTATAATATTTGCTTTATAAAGGGATACGATTGGCTGGAGCAAAATGCAGCATAGAACTTTCTAATGTTCTCTATCTTTATTATTGTTGCACTGATCACTGGAGTTTAAAAGTGCCATAAAGGTACAATAAGGTCACTATAAAGACAACACTGAGCACCATAGGAACAGTATAAATCCCTATAGGGACGTTATAAGACATGAAATGTGTGTGTTTAGGTGGGGCAGCTGGAAGTGATCCTATTTAGGTACTAGAGTACAGAACTTTTGTTGGGCTCTAACCCTTATTTGACAGGAAATCCACACTTCAGCCGTTAACAGGCGGCAGACTTAAAGCCCTCCAGAGAGAGCAGGAGGGGGAAGAAATGGTTTGAGGTAAATGCCAGACGCCCAGCCCTCCCTCATTAAGACGCGTGCAGGTCATTTTATTTCTCTTTGGTCCCTTTGCTTGCCTTTCGTATGCGTATGTGGTACAAAAGTGTACCAGCAGGTGTAGAGGTGTGTGTATGCGTGCGCTCAGGGGGCTTCAAACTGGAACTCTGTAGGCCCTGGCAGCAGGCGTGTAGGTGCGCTGTTCAGCATGCACACAACCTGTCAATCAGTGGTAGAGCAAAGAAGAAATCCAGACACTCGAAATCTGTCTTGGAGGAAATTTCTGTAGATTGGTACCTTTTGAATTACAGCGCGCCCTGTCCCATGTGCTTCACAAGCCTTGCGTGAATAAGTTAGGTTTGACAGCTGATTATGCATCGAGGGAGGAGATGTTGGAAGTTGGAGTGCGCTTTCATAACAGACCAAAGCAATGGGAGTATTGCTTTCCACAATTTATTTTTTTCACTCCAGGCCTGGTGCTGAGGAATCCAAGATGTCAGTCATTCTGCAGCACTGTTAATGAGAGCAGGAGATGTTATGTATGATGTATATGATCGTTTTATTTAAATACAAGTTTAAGACGCAATCAGTGTAACTGACATAAACTTCACAACTGCCAGAAACTACATGGCCCAGTTCATGACAGCGCGTTCACAAGCTACTTTTTTTTATCTGATAGCAAGATAATTCTCAGATGACTTCAAGCTGATGTGAGATCGCCCTTAAATTCCAGCAGGCCAATGTCATCCAGGGGAGATAACGATAATAATTGCAACCTTGATCTTTCTCGAGTCCTTTGGTTCTGCCACATTAAGAAAATACTCTTCCAGGCAGAAAAGAAACAAATGTGATTATTGATTGAAACAATTTTCTTCTTCCTATTAGATCTCAATCTCTACTTTTGTTTAAAAAAAAAACCCCAAACACCAAATGGGCTTATTTTCCCGATCAAACGCTGAGGTTGAAATGGTAAAATTTTATTTTTATTTTCCTATATGGAGGGTTGAACGTGTCAAATCAAAAAAGGGGGGAAAGTTAGAAAATTACTTAATAAATAAACTCATCTTTCATTAAACTGAGCGTAATTGAAATTAAAATTTATTTAGGCACAGATGCCTTTATGTAATGTGACAGAAATTGATTCATTTTTGTCTGTAAATAAATTTTTCATTTGTTAATTCTAATTTTTGCAGAGTTAAACATCGCCATACACATAGATGCATATAGTGAAAATATACCACTTAGGTATCAAAGACGTAGTTTTCTTACATGTTACATATTATTTACATATCACGTGTGAGTATATACGGCTGTCTTTTTTGTTTTTTACTCTTGCTCTCTCCATTTATGCCTACATAAACACACATCCATTTAATGGCCTGCTGAGTCAAGTAAAGAGGTGTGGACAGGGGAAGTGCAGAGCAGAGAGACCTTCAGAGATTGGTAGCGTTGCTCATCAAGTGGATTCAGGGAAGAAAGGTGCTTTTTTAAATTGTCTGCTCACACTGCATTCGTTAAAAGGAGACTCATTCGACTGCTTACAGCACAATGCCAGCACACGGCTGTCTAAGATAAATGCTTTTTAAACACAGCTAATTTGCTTATCCAGCTGGAAGCTCCAGGTCTCTGATTACTGATATTCTGAGCATTTGGGAGGAAGTAGTTCAAAGGGCTACAATAGCAATATTAATAACCCTTTTTCAGTGAACTGCTACATGAAATCTCACAGTGTTAAAGTTTTTAGTGGGAATAAAGTGCTCAGTGATGCACACTTTGATCATATGTGTACATATGCATGCAAATATTTGGTGTTCATAGTTTGGCTTGGATTATTCTTGCTTTTATCTGTACCTGGACTCAACTTATCAGCGTTGAGCCTCATCAGCCATCACCTCTGTTATTTACAACCCCGTGCCCTGAACCAGGGCGGTATCATTTGCTGCACTGGCCATGCTTATTGCAGGGCTTTACCCATTTCTCTCTAATTACTTTACACCCCAGATGCTCAACAAACACTCCCCCTGTCCATGCTTCCCTCCATTCCTGCACATGAAGGAGGCTAATCACCGGTGTGATCACCCCCTTTTCACCTCTGACCCCGCCAACACTAGAATAACAACCTCCATACCAGCCCCACAACCCCTCAACGCTTTTCCCCAATTAGGAGGGTGCTTTTCCCCTTGCAGATGACAGATGAGGGGTCAGGGGGCTGTCAGACCCCCTTGCTAGTTTCTCCTCATGCCCACCATGGGATTAAACAGAAGGACGTCCTTGCCCTGGGGAGTGACAAGAAGAAAGAGATGGAAGTAATGTCGACATAGATAAATAGCTATCGAAAAACTAGACACTGAAGCTCACAGAGTTGGGAAGCGGGTGTGGGAAATAAGAGCTGTTTGATGAAAATAGGAAGACAATATAGGTGTGAAAAGTTGATGGTTGAGACTCGCAAAATGGGTAGATTCTCAAAGAGGATTGGCTGCACCTGAGGAGAAAAGACTGGTGCAGGAACTCTAATTTCAAGATAAAGAGAGCAAGATGTTGTTCATGGGAATAGCAAATAGATAGAAAGATTAAATGTCCAAAATAAAAATGAATAAATAAATGAACAAAAAAAACAAATGAAGATTAAATGTCCAAAATAAAAATGAATAAATAAATGAACAAAAAACCAGATGAAGATTAAATGTCCAAAATAAAAATGAATAAATAAATGAACAAAAAACCAGATGAAATAGAGAACTGGGGAGGAAGAAATAGAGATGGGTAATGCAGTGTTCGTTGTGTTGCAGCGAGCCTTTTTTTCTCTGCTGCAATAAAAGTCGGGCTGCGGTCCAATGAATCAATGGGTTGGGGGCTTTCCTCTCTCTGTTGTGTGTTATGTCCACCGCTAATGGGCAGCAGATGTGGAGGTATTTCACAAGTGCGGCTTTGGAAAACATTCCCGCACATAAACCCAATTAGGTCGGACCCTGAACACGAGCTAGCTGGTGAGCAGGCGAGCGTGCTCACGACCGCCCAAACTCTCCACAGACTCAGTTGACTTAAATTATCTGATTTTTTCACTGCAGGAAAAAAGAAGCTGTAGAGTTAATTATGCTTAAAGACTACGTTTGAGTTAGCCAGTGTTCTAATGCAGAATTTTCCAATTCTTTTCAAACAAATTTTTTTCAGTTTGTCTGCTTTTATAAAAATGGGTCGATTAATAAGCTCTGACGGCTCAGTATCTGCTGTCAGGTTTTTCGTTATCTAGGTGGTTCAAAATAACCAAGAAAAA